AATGCACTATTTTTTAAGCTTAAAATCTTTTTATTTTTCATAGTCATACATCTCGATGATGAGATGATCAATCAAACATTAAAACTATCTTTTCTGATGGATTTTTGAGGTGCATCCGTAGTTCTACATTATAAGGTTGCATCCTTATATAAACTTTTTTCAATCTTGAAACACTTGAAATATGTAGAATTTTCTTGTGGGGTAAAATTCCTGGGAAATAATGACAATATTTATGGTCAAGTTGCAGCCTAAGAAACAAAAATTTCATTAAATTGAGGCATTATTAGGTCTGGTTTTATTGTGATTATTTATTCGTTTTTTTTGTTTGAATTAAAACTGAAAATTACCTCTTTGTCTTGTTCACAAGTTTGGCAACATCTACTTATCTAGAACAAATGATAAGATTCACATTTGAGTGTTCTAGGTTATCCATGAGTCTTGTGGATGGTATCTTCTCTTGTTATGGACCATGAATTTTCTTCCACTTCTAATCCTACACAAGATATCCATTCACCAAACCAGTACATTCAATTATTCTCAATGATTTGGAGCGGTGTTTTAAAGACCCGATTGGTCAGCAACTGGACCAATCTGGATACCTGATTGGGATAAAATCGGACAAGTCATGTTGTGTAGGAAATAGTCCAAAAAATTGATTAAGATTTTAAGAACCTGGTTTCTATGCGGCCAAGCCCGCATATGTAAAAATGCGGGCCTCTTAATAAATTTATTTTTGAGATGAATTTTAAAACTTAATTTTTAAAGACATGTAATCTCTAACATGGAGATCATAAATATGAAAAAATAAATAAATTTTAAAAAATAAAAACAATAATTCTAGTAAGAAAGCATTTTGACTGTTAATTTCTATTTTTTTTTAGATGGAACACCTACTGGTGTCCATCTTTAAGATGGATGCTTTATACTTTCTAGATTGCATATCTAGAAGTGCAGTCCAGCCCGCATGAAACAATTTTTCATATTTTAAAATTAAAAAAATATTAAAAAATTATAATAAAAAAAAATGAAATGGGTGGAAACCAAGTGATTATGTCCAACCAGATTCTCTAAGCCACTCGCCCTGTTATCTAACAGAACGAGGCAACTCATTCTAACCCCAGGAAGATTCATAGATTTGGGCAAGTATTGGCTTAGCACCCATTTTTTTTCCATCCAAAATCGCAAAATTTAATTCAATGATTTGGAGAAGTCTGGGAAAGTGAAAATTCGTAAAGGAGAAGTACCGGACAAAGTCAATTTACTGTAAATGGTACAGAAGAAGAGTATCTTCTACCATCCGTTCTCGCGTTCCCCTGTGAAGGTGCAGATTGGGTCAGAGTTCAATCTCAAGGTTCAGATTGGGACTGAGTTCAATCTTTACCATCCATCATTGCAAGTAGACATGGATTGCTTGTTGGTACAGCATATAATGTACACAAGCTGTTTATATTTTGCAGTATATTTTCTCATTACTACATTTACTCTTTACTTTTTTTCTTTTTTTTTATCTTTTTTTTTTACCTTGGGGGGTGTGATGTTTTCAATATCGATAAACAATTGTGCATTGACCATCAAATGCTTCCCAAACGCAACCTAAGACATTCTCAATTTGTGAAGCAAAATGCTAAAAAAAGATTGGGCACTCCGATTGACCATCCAACACTTTATTTTTCAAAAGTCGGTAGAAGTCGATTGTTATTCCTTTTTGACTGGACTTAGTAGTAGGAGATTGGTTCACCACTACCGTTTTTTAATAAAATTAGATAACGGATTATCGGTCTGAGCACCCTATTCAATACTTATAGCGAGAGTCATATATTTTCTTTGTCTCTCTTTGAGTGTTGCTTAGCAAGCATGGTGGTGTTGTTCAAATACAAACTTGACAAGCCACCCGAACTTGTTATACTTTACCATTTATGAAATTCATAGATCATTTGCAAGTTGCCTCTTGGCTTAGATAGTCAAGGTGATAACTATAACAACATGACATCTAAAGTTCCATTCATATTGAAGTTCTAACTCACGATTAAGGAATAGATATAATTGCTCCATTCATAGCGACGTTCTAAGTTACCATTTAGGGAGAGATTTGTCTAGGCAATGCTTTTAGAGTATGGGTCTATTTAACATTTTTCACCTTTATGAGAGGTATTATCAGGGCACATCATGCTTGCTACCCTGCTAACCTGTGTTAATGCCCTAATCCTTCTTGGGTGATGGTTCATGGAATGACCCTGCTAACCTGTGTTAACGCCTTAATCCTTCTTGGGTGGGGGTTACTTTAACCTGTGAAGCACCCATCAAACGAGGAATATATATATATATATATATATATATATATATATATATATAT